CCTCGAAGACGACTACTATGCAATCTCAGAAGATATGGTGGTCCTCTCCTATGACATCGCTTCCACTACAGCCTCCTTCAGCAAGTCCTTATATAATATTAGTAACGTCAGATAAGAATACGAGATTATATATTATACGTATAATAATTATTTATTTACTTCTGGACTCTGTCAAATCAACGACGGCTGTATCGAGGTTATGTGGTTTCGTGTCTTTCTCTGAACGTTTGATCTTCTTACGAAAATATGAAGGATTCTCTCTCTATCCACATAGTGCATATGCTATCCGGTTGCCATGTGTGTATGTATGTGTGTGTTTGTGCGTATCTTAAGTTCAGCTGATTTCACTCTTTTGCTTATGTCAATGCACCCACTGGCATCTTTCGAGGGCCGATTCTACACTTGGCGGTTTTGAGGATACCTTCATCTCTCGAGGCTTCCATCATCTATCGGCTCTTCAGCACCTGTTAGTTAATTTTTAATTTTAATTGTATATAGGAGGATTGATTTTTTGTATCAGCTATTGTCGAGTAGCCTCTTTTAAAATCTGTTTAGTCACATGAAATTTCACTAGTAAGAGGAAACCGTCATCAGATCTGATGTGCCTTGACCTTTCGGCCACATAGGACTTCCTGATCAAACAAAGTCCGAATAGTGCCCTTGAACATATATCTTGGGTATCTGTTTGGAAATTCTTTTACGAGTAATTTATATATGTGCGATATTAATGTGACAAAGGGATATGATTTTTCTTATAAAGCAAAATTACTATTCTTAGACTGAATATGTATAAATTATTTAACCGAAACTGTTTGAATATATATATATATATATATATATATATAAATAAAAGTGAACATTGAAGTCAACACTTAGAGGCGACAGTCTGTTTCATGATAGACGCAATCGTCTGGCCTGACGATTGCGTCTAACATGAAAGAGGCTATTGCCTCTAAATGTTGACATCAGTGTTCACTTTTATATTCACACGCTCTATCTCTGATATTGAGCACTTTATCCCATAAATATAGCACACCTTAAGACTATATATATATATATATATATATATATATATATATATATATATATATATATGTATGCATGTATGTATGTATGTATATATATAGTTATAGTTATAAGGTAGATAAATCTAACGGCTAGAAAGATATAAGCAAATACGCGCGTGCTGGTGTGCATGCACGGACAAGTAAATAAATAATCGTCAAATTTACACATGAGGTGTAGTAAACATAATATAATGCTCGATGACGTTAAATAGAGCAAAGATATATGTGAATTCGTACATATACGTGTACCTACGTTTTGGTTTGCGACTAAAGTTTCCCTGGGTTACTAGTTCGTCGGGCACAAGATGTATGCTGTTAAAAGTAAACAAATGGCTTATGGGTGTATCACTGCTACGTAGTGTAAAAGTAAAATTGCACAGAAGTGTGTTAAATGCGATGCTGGTGAGTTACATTTTTAAATAAATTAGAAAAATGTGAGAAGAATAGAAAAAAAGTATAAGGAAAAACAATGATTACAAATTTAAAATTAAAGACGCTGCGTTCACGTAGTCAGTATAAGGTTAAGGGTTGGAGGTAAAAAAAATGAATGAAAATAAAAAATAATGACGATAAGGAAAGAAATGAAATCGAAAAAACGTGTGGAAATGAGGGTGAGCATATGGAAAGTAATTATAATATATGGGAATATGAAAAAACAAAAAAAAAAACAAAACAAAAGAAATATGTGGAGAAATAAGAAAATTTAAGAAATGTGAGGGAACGAACTGGTAATCCAGCGAAACTTTAGTCGTACACCAAAACGTAGGTACACGTTTTGTACTAATTACACACACACACATATATATATATATATATATATATATAAAAGTAAACCAAAAGAGCCAGACAAACCTACCTAGTCTGTCCAGACGATCCGCGTAGATGAAACCTAGGTAGGTTTGTCTGGCTCTTTCGGTTTATTTTTTGCTTTATTTCTCTACTTAGCGTATTGAGCACTTTGATTAGTTATTTTACTTTACACTCGTATCGGAGGTTTTTTTTCTTTGGGCTCTGAACGTAGACGATTATTTTCGCCGGAAATATATGTTCTTAGTTCTTTCTTTTTACCCTTTTTCCCTTTTTTTTCCCCTTGGGTATTGGTTTGTTGATTGACAAGCTAAAACACGGACGAGTATAACTGCTTAGCTTATATTTATAAGATTATTAGTGTTATATATATATATATATATATATAGTCGGTTCAGACGCCAAAACCATTCCGATGCTGTCAGTTTGTATATAATTGTAGTGGTCGTAAATTCAGCCTTTGGACTGACCTTTTTCTAATTTTTACATGTGTCAAGTGGGGAAAAAAGTCATATATCTTATGTAGTGTACTAACCGACAAAAATGATAACATTTTCATATTTTTTAATAAGAGAAAAGCAAAAATACATGAAAACTTATTAATAAATCAAAACTTCATTTATTGTCATTAAATTCTATTTTTATTTCATTTTCTTTTGCTTTTCACGATTTGTTAAAAGTTTACAGAATAAAACTGAGATGTTATTGTAGTATTCGGTCTACCGTTAGGTTTCTACTTACATTTTGTAAGTAAACAAAAGAGTTGAAAGATTGGTTTTAACAGTAACAAAAGAATGTATATTAAAAACAAGACTAGATCATTCATATCAAGAAACAGTTATTAATAATATTGCATATGTAAGATGGGATGCTGTACGAATATATGGATTAACAATCGATTAGGTGAAAAAAGAATATTAACCTCTTATTGCAATTCGCACCTCATTGAAGAAAGCAATACAAACCAATCTTTTATAAGTAGCTTTCGACATTAGTAATATAGGTGCAGTTTTAACTCTTCGGTGGGATACTCTTATTTTTTTTTATCTAGTTTTTTAGAATATCTGAACGCCAGCTGATTTGAAGCAAACATTTTAACCACTCACTTTTAACTTTATCAAAGTTTACAATGGCAGAGGTCGCATCAGCAGTTATGGGCAAACATTTCGGTAGACCTGAAATACTACAACAGCATACACAGAATATTGAACAAGAAAATGGCGGACAATAATTTTTACCTACGATTTCCATTTTTTTTTTTTTACTTTAGTAGGTAACAAACATTTCAATGGAAATTTATTCCATACTGTAGAACAGCGAAAACGTTATTTAATGATGTACTGTAGTTTAAAGCGGGAGTATATCCCGCGATATTTATGAATAAATGCAGACAATATAGAATACATTACATTTAATGATTAAACACGTAATCTGGTAAATTGTGTTGTCAAAAGGTTTTTGAATATCATTGTAAATTATATTTGTTAGATGTTTTCAGTTATTTTTACGAGATTAAGAGCAAAAAACTTAGGTTAAATTTATATATATATTTTTTTTTATCTGACGCTTCCGTGTATTTGTTAAGCAAGGTAATAAGCGACAAGTACCCGGTGAGGATTAAACTTACTCGAATCGTAATAATGGTCTGAGTGAACAGTAAGAAGACGCTCAACTTTTCTCTACGATTGGTATTTTTTTTCTATTTTTATTAGAAATGTTTCTTATGATTACTTTTAGAAAATGCAGTAATTTAGCGAATATAGTGACGTATAGAAGACCCTGAGTTTCTAATTTCAATAATTAAACTATTGAAATCATTCTTTTTTTTTTTTTTTTTTTTTTTTTTTTTTTACAAAAAAGCAGTTGCAAAATTGTAGAAGAAGATGCGAACTTAAAATGTCAATTTCCGTTTCCGGTTGGAGATATCGTTTGTAAAAAATAAAGTCATAGGAAAATATGTATATACGCTTTCTTTGGATGGGAAATATAATAACTGATAAATGAATAATAATATAATAATAACAAATAAATTTATTAAATTACTACTTTAATTCTGCTTCTCTGTACCGTGTCCCTTCAGAATGTGGACGGTCATGGCTTTCCACAACTTCCTATCCTTCGCAACTCTTAGCAATGTTTGCCTTTTTTTTACTATTAATCTCACTACCTATTCTGCTATCCATTGACACAAGTTTGTTAAGGCAGTTGTTTCCCCTTGTCCTTTTAGCCTTCAATATGTCCTGTGATTACCGAATTTTTCGACCCTTCTTTCCTTCTTTAAATCATCCAGAAGTTTCAACCGTCTCTCTCTGATCTTAAATACAAGTGTTATTTTTGTTTCCGACGGTTTAATTACCATAAAATAAAAAGGACTCTTATCGTTAGCATTTAGTATTACGTATTTCATTTACTTTTATTTTATTAACAGCTATTAATTAAATGAATTAAAATATTACTTATTTTATTAAAGATTATTGTCTATTTTAAATGAAAGTGTTATTTATTTTCTCAATATATTTTTGCCTATTTACAAGTCGATGGTTTCCCTACCCAAAGAATGTGTAATCTATGACTTTTTATTCCATGAGTTTTCCCCCTTGAATTTATTACCGGTTATCGTTACATACCTAGTTTAAAGTAGAAAAATAATTCTAAAGAAAAGTGAGCTTTCAAATGTTCATGGCGAAAAACAGGAGGTATTTGAGTAAAGGCTATAGTAAACTATCATTATTTTTACAATGGTCTATTTGTTGAAGAGGAACTGGATACTGCCATAAAAAGAAAATGTCTGACGTGTTTAAACGACCCAAATTGTTGCACTTCAATCTAATCAAAGTATTGGATAATAAGTCGCTTAATTTCTTGAATTAAAACTAAGAAAAAGTAATAATAATAATAACTGATTTGGTAATTCTTTTGAAATTTAAGTGGAGGTGTTGTTGGGAGGCGTCTTCATAGATTATTTTAATTTCTTTCTTAAAACAATTTGAGTCAAATAAATTGTTGAAAATTGTGTGTGTGTGTATGTGCGTGTGTATGTGTGTGTGTGTGTGTGTGTGTGCGGATGAGACAATCGGTGGGTTTATTTCTCTCCGATCAGAGCGAGCAAGATCCTCTTATAATCACCACTGCAATCGCCCTTAATGAATTTACCCAGCTCCTTGTTGTAGACACGTTCAAAGGCGTCTTTTATTTGCATCATGTCAATCTGCAAAAGAATAACACCAATTATTATCGGTTACACTATGGGCTCGCTGACACCCCCCCCACAAGGTAGCACAATAAAAAACATCCACGGTTGTCTTAAGATTGCATTGCAATTATATCTTAAAAGACAACTGTGAAAAGAAATTAGCAACAATTAACAATAAAACCCGTTAAAAATGGTTAAATAAGTGGCTGAAGGCGCTTTGGACTATAGACAGCACGGACCATTTTTACACCCCCTTAACCCCAACAAACGGAAAAATTTAAGGATACTCGTAAAAGTCAATAAAAATTCATAAAAGTTTCCTTGTCTGTCATATTCAGTGAAAATATATATATATATTTCACTGAATATGAAAATTTTATATATATATATATATATATATATATATATATATATATATATATAGTAAAAAGGCTTATCGATTCCAGTGTAATAAATCGATTCCAATGTAATAAATTATGACCATGGAGTACTAGTGCTTAAGCCTTTTGACTATATCCTTACTCTGTCCTGGACATTGAGTTCTACCTGGATTCTACCCTCTGAATTTTTTTTACATACATATAATATATGTATGTGTATGTGTGTATGTATGTATGTATATATATTTGTGTATTTTAGATATATGTACATATGTATGTGTATATTAACCACTAATATTATCTATCTATCTATCTACATATATATATATATATATATATATATATATATATATATATATATATTGAGGTGGATAAATCAAATAACTAGATATTAACAACCGTATATACGTGCGTTAGCGTGCATACACAGGTAAGCAAATATATATCTACTTAATTTAATTTTAAGCGTAAACAAAACAGTGCCCAATGTGGTTAGAGAGAGCTAAGAAGTATATATTAATAAATATACATATACCTACGTTTGAAGGGCAACTTCAGTTTCGTCGTTCTACCAACTCATCTGGCACGAATTATTACTTTTGATGTAAAAAAGAAGGCATGCTGGGACTCATGGGAGGAACGCTGCATTAAACGCAGATTCAAAGCTCAAATTAGAACAACGAAACTTTAGAATAATGGTAGAATAACGGAACTTTAAGTTGTCCCTTCAACGTAGGTATATATATATATATATATATATATATATATAGTTAGGTCGATGTTGATTTGTGACACTGGGTTTCACGCGATCCTCAGACAAATTCGCTGTTTGTCTGACGATCGCAAATAGCGTGAAACCCAGGGTCACAAACTCACATCAATCCAACTAAATATGTTAGCTTTATCACTGATATTGGTCGCTTTTCAATAAGTACCGCGCATATATAATATATAAATAATAGATATAAGAAATTGCATATATATATATATATATATATATATATATATATATATATATATATATATATATATATATGTTCATATTTATATACATACACACTTCACACACACACACACATATATATATTCAGATATGCTTCATTGAATACATTTGACATGTTTTGTCTACTTATTGTCAATTGGATTCATTGATATTCATGGCCAAGATTTTTGGTGTCAGTTTAAAGGAAGAGAGAAAATTACCGTATTACTTATTCCGAGTACTTTCGACGTTAGCACAATGTCATCATCAGAGTGTTGTTATTTTCAAGACAGATATTGTAGTGTTCGTCATTTTCAAAAACAAAAATTGCTGTTTTTACTTGTGAAGTGAATAGAGTGCTGTGCGATTAGCTTGATCTTTTCTAAGTGTTTTTTGCAGGCTTCCGGAGAACTGAAATTCTTCACCATTTGTAGAGATCAAAATAATTGGTAACCAGAAGGTGCAAGGTCAGGCGAGTAAGGCGCATGTAGTAGGATACCCAAGCGAATCTGTATCAGTTTCTGCCGGGTGTATAAAAGTACGTTAAGTGTGGCGTTGATCTGATTGAAGACGACACTCTTCCTTCCGAATGACCAATTGCGGACGCTGGTTACTGATTGCTGTCTTTAATCAGTGCAATTTGGAACAGTATTTGCCTAAGTTTAATGCCTGGTTTTGAGGAAGGTGCTCGCAACACACAGTGCTCTTCCAGTCACAACAAGTATAGAGCATCGCCTTCTTTGGACGCATTTTGGCTTTTGAAGTGGTCAACAGTGGTTCATATGGTTTTCCACCAGAACTTTTTTCGCAGTACATTATTGTAAACAATCAACTTTTCATCGTTTATCATCGTTTTTTTTTTTTTTTTTAAAATGGGTTCCCCCACTTTTTTGCTTTTGTGCAGAGAATCGTAAAAAGAAATGAAGTCCATTAATTTGTTTTCTGTTAAATCGTGATGCACCCAAACTTTATTACGATTAACGTATCAAAGTGTTCTCAAATGCCTTACAATGTTCATATATATATATAATTTCATACCAAATAAGGCGGGAATGTCACTAGCTTTTTTTTCCTGGTGCACCCACTATATGAATTTAAATATGTTACTAGGCTAACATCTGGGTCCCTCCTTTTTATCATTGAAATAGTTAAATGTAACCACCATTTCTACTCCAATAATTTTTTCTCACACTTCCCGCCTGTGGAACTCTCTTCCGTTTACTTGCTTCCCTGATAACTACAATCTTCAAAGATTTAAATGCAACGTCAATCGTCATCTTCTGTTGTTCTGAACCCCGTTGATCTTTTATCCTTTCATTATCCTCCCTATATCCAGTCTTTTGTCTCACCTTCACTTTATGTAACCCCCGCCTGCGTACCAGTAGAATTACCACCTTGCTTGGGTTGAAATACTTTTTAAAAAAAGTAGGCAGGGGTTACAGAGAGTGAAAATGAAATATGGCGATCGACGTTACATTTAAATGGGATATGTTCTGTATTGTGCACCTTGGATTGATTTCAGTTAGTATTTCGATTTGGTCATCATCAATGACTTCAAGCCAGCTGGAATGTTCTCGGTCTTTCAGATTAAAGTTTCCTCTGCTGAACCTAGTGACAATTTAAGAACAGCTATGGCACCATCTCCATAAACGGCACATATCTTTATTAAATGTTTGTAAAGCGTTTTTTTTTTTTTTTTATCCATTCTGGAAATAAAAGTCTATCAAATGATGAAAATGCATCTTATTTTACTCCATTGTCACGTTTAAAATATAAACATTTAGAATTCACAATCCCCACACACCAAGTTGTATAGACAAGCTCATTGCAATGTCACTTTTCAGAATACATGTCATAAATTTCTTTCACATGTGAAACGAAATCATGTGTTCAAATGCCACCTATTGAAGAAACGCTACGAACTTTTGTTCCAACCCAATATTTATCAGCCGATGTCATTTTATAACAAATGTTTTGTTTTATAGCGATTTTCTAAGCGCTGCTTAGATGTGGCACAAGGCCGGAAGTATGGAGCACCCAGTGAGGAGTGAACTCACTACTCAGTCGTAATATGTTCTAGCGAGACAAGCTTGCTAACCATTACACCACGCTGAGGTGCCCAAATGCTTTGTTTTATAGTTAGGACGCTGTGAAAGTTTCTTGCATTTTTGTTTTAACGTCTTTATTATTTAGATAAATTCGACGTGTCATTATGAAACTGTCGAGCATTTTTTTCATTGGTTTTCTATCACCCTGAGCAGCGATGTATTTTACTTACCTCACACCTGCTAACAACTACTCGGATGAGGGTGGAGTCATTCGTGCCAACACCTTTCATGGATTTGTACAGGCATTCGGCGAAGAATGTATGGACGTCTTTCACACTTTTAACTGCAAAATAATAAAACAGAAAACAGAGATGAAATGTTGAATAGAACTGTCTCTAATGCTGGATTTGTGCAGTAGGCATGGAGGTGTAGCGGTGACTTAACGGCTATCAACTCTTAAAGTGTAATCAGAGAACAGAAGTTCTAATTCTAACTGAGGCAGCGTTTGTTCACATCACACGAATATTCATGAAAAAGGGAAGAATTCACGTATCCCTGCGCTTTTTTCCTATCACCCATCATCGCGGCAAAATATGCTTGACGGAGGAATAAAATGGAACTAGTCAGCTTGGACAAACCACTCCCTTAACAGCCCAGGAAATAATAGCAAAATGTTGTAACGCCTTCACAGAAACTTTGCAAAAGGTTCAGTCAGTCAGTTAAGTGCCACGCGTGATACACAGTTGGGCGATCATGACTGACGAGGTAGAAGATTTTTCCTGCAGTAGGTTGCCATTTTCTCTACGGTAGACTGGTTGCCAACCAAGGCTAAAGAACCCAGTCTATCCTGCTATTCAACCTATAGCTGCGAGGAGAAAGGATGGATAAATGAAATATAACGAAATCAACTGGGAATCGAACTCTATTTTTCGAGTGTCTCATTCACGAGCAGGATATTCATTACATCCAGCAAAAAAAATTCACTAAACGGAAAACATGATTCAGGTAAAATTACGTAATATATATATATATATATATATATATATATATATATATATATATATATATATATACACCGGGTGTAGAAACAAAATTGTCCAAATCGTGTAACAGCAAAATTGTCCAATAGTTAGATTAATCTCTGAACTGTTATATCTTAGAAATGATTAAAGATAACTTACTGGAATTCTCCGATGTTTTAATAACACTGTTGGGCTATATTTTGAGCAATAAGAATGTATAATTAACAGAAGTATCGTGATGAAATATATATATATATATATATATATATAGATGATATATATATGTTTTATTAAATAATATGGACAAGTGTTGTCTATTTTATGTAAATTCTTTTCATAACGTCTGATAAGCTTAACAACATTATCATTAAACGAAGAAAGAAAATCACAATATTGATCCATATTTTTTAATACAATCTAAGCTTTCGGCTTATATAAGTCATTATCAAAGATGTCAATTACTGTACAATATATTAAGCAATATACGGACAAGACAATGATGATAGTCTGTTATTGTTAACATAGATGATTTCCAAGCAACGATAAACACGTGCATATAAGACGCTGGAAGCGAAAATCGCACCGCAGCTCATGACGTCACACATGAGAGTGAATTCGAGAAGTATTAAGTATGGGAAGCCGTTGGTATATAACAATGGCGTCTGTTACCAATTATAGACATTTAATATATATATATATATATATATATATATATTTCATCACAATTCTTCTGTTAAGTTTGGAGAGTAATTATATATATATATATATATATATATATATATATATGTGTGTGTGTGTGTGTGTGTGTGTGTGTGTGTTCCAGGATCATTTTCCAACTTATTCAAGATGATCTTCACTCTCTCTAACCTTCTTTCTGTTCTGGAATAACAAGATGCCTCACACGTTTCACACACGATTTCATTTTCAAGTCTTTTTTCACTGCTCTTTGGACTGTCATAGCTGAAACTCCTCTCTCACGTGCCAAACGTCTTATGGATTGAGTTGGATCTTTTCTAATTGATCTCTTTAGATCTAAGTTGGAATGCTGATCCGTCTTCCTGTTGTGACCTCCTGATCCAGGTTTCCTCTCTACTGTTTCCTCTTTTTAAAACTTATTCACCGTTCTCTTGATAGCTTTTGAATGGACTTTGAATATGGATGCCAGAGTTTGAATGTTGGTACCTGTTGTGGATTCCGGGATGAAATCCGGTCTCAAATGAATGACAAACACAGGAATGATATATAGCAAATAAATGTATTGACGTAATAATACAATTGGTAATACGTTTAGTAGATCCAGAAAGTCGGTTAGTAGCAATAATAATATATATATACAGTCTGGGAAATTCAGTATCGAAGTATGGCTTCCTTCTGAGTCTACGCGCTCGCAACTGTGACTCCTACAAAGCGGTTACCTCACACTCTCACTCTCTCACTTCCGGGTATTCACCGACAGCAGTACAAGTACACACTGGGCGAGTCCACTTGTATAAAAAGGGGTAGACCCCTTAACAGTACCATTACTGAAGGCCTGAATGATCTTTTTCCTTTCACCATTGCTCAGTTGGGAAGACAGTGGATCTGACACAAAACAATTTTAACCTGTTCTCTTTCTAGCTGAATATCTCAAAGGGTTTTTCAGTGATTCTTACGAAAAATGGTGTCAAGATGGCTAAACGTCTTATCTAAAAATCTGGAAAAAAGAAACTCAGTTTATTCGGTTTTTTTTTTTGGTTTTTTTTTTTCGATATTAAACATTTTGTGAGATGGACAATTTTGCTGTTACACAGTTTGAACAATTTTGCTGTTACACAGTTTGAACAATTTTGCTGTTACACAGTTTGAACAATTTTGCTGTTACACCCAGTATGTATACTGGTACGGTGTCAATGTACTGAATAGGTTAGAGTCATTCATTGTTTGGCTTCAACATTTTCTGGTGCTGGTATCTCTCCGACCACTTTTTTTCCTTTTTTTTTTATTTACAATAATTAATTTTAAGAATCCAACATTTTAATGCATTAATTTGGGAAATTCAAAATATTTAAGAACTGGTTCACTGTTTATTCAAATTCTTTAATTTTGGGATTTCCAATCATTTAGGTATTGCCTCTTTCTTTAAATTCTTTAATTTTGGTGATTCAAAATATTTACGACTTAACGATTCTCTCTCTTTTTTTTAAATTCTTTAATTTTGGTGCCGATAGGGATTTCAAAATTCTGAAAATAACGTTTAAAATTCCAAAAATAACTTTTTCAATTCTAAAAATAACGTTTACTTTAAAATTAAAAAAAATAACCTCTAAAATTCTAAAAATAAAGTTTAAAATTCTAAAAATAACTTTTTAAATTCGAAAAATAACGTTTACGATTCCAAAAATAACGTTTAAAATTTTAAGAATAACGTTTAAAATTCCAAAAATAACGTTTAAATATTTAAAATAACGTTTAAAATTCCAAAAATAACATTTAAATATTTAAAATAACGTTTAAAATTCCAAAAATAACAATTAAAATTCTAAAAAGAACGTTTAAAATCCAAAAAATAACTATCTAAATTCTAAAAATAAATTTAAAAATTCTAAAAATAACATTTTAAATTCTAAAAATAACGTTTAAAATTCCAAAAATAACGTTTAAAATTCTAAAAATAAAGTGTAAAATTCCAAAATTAACTTTTTAAATTCTAAAAATAACGTTTAAAATGAAAAAACTAACGTTTAGATTTTTAAATATCGTCTAAATTTAAAAAAATAACGTTTAAAATTCTAAAAGTAGCGTTTAATTTCCAAAAATAACTTTTTAAATTCTAAAATAAAACAATAAAATTGCTGAGGGGTTATACAGGAATAGCAATGTCTAGAGTAAAACTGTTCTTTTGAAAAAAACATTTTTTTTGTAGTTGGTATGTATTCTAAACATTGCCAAGATATTTTTTTTCAACTATTTTTTTTTAATATCTGGATTCTCTTTTCTAAGAGATTCGTGTTATTTCTTTTCTGAACGTATTTTTATTTTTATTACACGAAGATTCGGAATCCACGCAGCGTGAATAATAACCTTGACTACGCATCTTATCAAATACAATTCGTTTCATATCAGAATATAACGGCGAGGTAAATTGAAATATACTGAAGCTCATCTTACCGATAGCCAGGTAAGCCTTTTCCAGATCTCCGGACATTTCGCGGTGGATGGATTCCATGATGTCTCTGTCTGCAATACGGTTATAAGCCTGAAAAGTCGCCCTCAGTTGTGGGTAACTTCTCAAGGACAGGACTTTGTTGAACTCAGACTCGTCCGTGCCAAACTGGCCTTCACCTGCCTGAAATAAACCAGAAATTGTTTTTAAATTCTCTGGTGCAACGAAATTAAATGTAAAGAGAAATGAAATTTTAATAATTTGAGGGATAAAATTGTAAGTTAATATCATCTTTTTAAACCTAATCATTTTTTCAATGCAATGTCCCATCAGGACGTGCCTCTCCCCATTTTCTTTTATTGTTTATGAATTGCAATAAAATTTTGCTAAAGATAGTGAAATTGTTTTCCTTTTCCACAGGCTGGATTCCACTGTTTTCCTTCTCCTAGACTGATTGCAACCCAATGCTAAAGAGTCTATTCTATTTAACTAGGGTCTCGTCCGCCATCGTAATTTTGATACGGGGCCCTTCTACTACATGTCAACTTCAAAATTTCCCAACCTTGGGGCCACAAATCTTCATAGGCGAAATTATGTGTGGGGAGGGCAGCGCGTTTTTATATTATCAAAAATCAGGGAATTATTCAATTTAAATGAAAATTTCAGTACATATTTATTATTTAATTTCATAATAAATAGTTTTTTTTATTTAAAAAATGTATTCCCCTCTTAATTGATTTAAAAGAACTGTTCAGAAAGAAAATTACAATTTAAAAAAAATAATCGCTATTGAAATTATCACTTCTAACCCCTCCTTCTCCCCAGTGAGCATACCCCCCCCGCCCACGCGGTTGAGAGGTTCGTGGGTAGTAAGGACAGACCCTGTCGGTTAATAAAGATGATGATTGACAATCTAACTTAGGTAGAAAAAAAAAGGAAAGAATACAAAAAGCCCCCCCCCCAAAAAAAACGCTGATGAAACTAACCCTTTTAGGGCTCCAACTTTCTCGGGGAAGGGTGGGGGGTTCCTGCGTAGTACGTCCCACGCCAGCCATGCAGATACACGATGTATATTATTAGTTGATGACTGACAATGTAACGTCAATTTAAAAATAATTAAAACAAATGGCGGATGAGCATAAAACAGTAGCGAAAAAATAACAGAGGACACAACGGGGCCCCAAAAAACGCCCCCACCCCCGGTCGGGGGACTCGGGGGTAAGACGCGCCGGCCCTGTATTTAAGCATAGCTGGGATTAGGGAGAAGAGACGGATTAATGCAAAGTAAACGCAACAGATTAGGCTGGAATTGAAACTTGGTTCCCAATTCCATTTTCACGCCGTTACGCCACCCTCACATTCTGAGTTTGCGATGACGTATCTAAAAAGTATTAAAATAATAATGCTTTTCTTTTTCAAAGGTGGCGTGAAATATTTGAGTAGTGTATAATTGTATCAGAATGTGGCTTAGCCTAATAAATTCTGGCACAAGTATATTTTATACTGAAAGAAAGACGAAATTATCAATGGCTACTGAGAGGTTTCTAATCATTCCTCATAAACTGTTAGAAGAAAGAAAGAAAAAAAGAAAGAAACAAAGAAAGAAAGAATAATAGTTTTTGTGATTTGCTGCCTGGTCACCACATATCGACTGACGCACATTTAAATAAATAGACAGACTTGAATAACTGTGTGAAATAGATGGATAGATAGATAATGAAGACACATAGATAGATAGATAGATAGATAGATATGAACAGACTGAGATAGATAGATAGATAGATAATGAAGATAGATAGATAGTTAATGAAGAGACATAGATAGATAGATAAATAGATAGATAGATAAAATAATTAATGAAGGAAAAAGAAAGAAAGAATTATTGAAAACTTTTGAAACCCATTCCCTCACCACTCCATCACAATGGGTGGACATTTCGATAGATAGATAGATAGATAGATAGATAGATAGATAGATAGATAGATAGGAATAAACGGAGGCGGCGAGAAAGATAGATATGAACAGATGAATGAAAAGTTGTCTGAAAAAGAGAAAGATAAAAAAGAAGGCCTTATATTAAGCAGACAAAAAATTAGAAGGATCTTGAATTTCATCCTTGCATAACCAATTCTCGTTTTAAATCTAAAAATAGCAAAAATATATATTTACATCATAAAGATCCTGAGCATCTTTCTCGGCAAGGTCATGATCGATTTCCCACTCCTCACTTCGGTTGCAAAGTGTCTGTGAAATGAGAACACGTTTCAGATGTCCACTGGTTTCTGAAGAAACGGCATCTTCTAGTTCTTTGTCAAACACTATCAAATATAATAAAACTCAATATAAATGTTTTGTAGACAAACACATAGCGAGAGACATTCTAGATATTTATAATCGGCCATTTCATAGTTGTTTTTTTTACTATAATCAGATGATCTATCTATCTATCTATAGTGTAACCCGGATATAAGAGAAACCCGGATATAAGAGATATTTTCTCTGGTCCCAAATTAGTGCCTGTGTTAATGTATATAAAATAGACCAAATCCGGATATAAGAGACTTCTTCTCCGGTCCCAACAACTCTCTTATATCCGGGTTACACTGTATCTATCTATCTATCTATCTATCTATCTATCTATCTCGGTCTGTTCATTTTAGTACAGAAATCGAACGGCTCATAGGAATAACGAAAGATGCTTTTTAGAAACTAAGCAGAGTATGGAGAGAAAGGAAAAAGGCAGGAAAAATTATTGTTTTTTGATTTCTAGGATTATTTGCTCCCCAAATAATATTTGGCAGTCTCATATGAGTCCAGGTTTAAAAAAAAAATGAAAACAAAAAGGACACTTATACATAGAATCAGGAAGAGTTGAAATTTCTATGGTACATAATGAAGGAAAAGGGCTTGGAGAATTTAACACTCACAGGACATATTGAAGGAAAGAGGGACAGAGGAAAGCAGTGCATAACCTACCTAACGAGCTTGTGTACATGGTTGGAAGAACAGGGATTAGGAGAGATAGAAAAAAAAAAAAAGAAAAAAATGGGAAAAGAAGCAGAATTTGGTGAAGTCTTTTCATTGGTTCGTGAATTGACTAAACAGTAACTAGCGAGAACGCGAGGTAAAAAAGGGAGATCTTTCCTCCAAGATTCTTCAGTGAGCTTTTTCGCTTGGTAGCGATGAGATAGAGATAGGGAAGTTCTCTCACTCACTGTACCCTCTCTGTTACTGACAAGAAGTCGGTAACATTTCCTTTTTGGTGCAAATCTAAGATATTGGCCCGAAGACAGCCAATGCGACCCACGAGCCACACAGAGAATGTTGTGACAATGTAACAGGGGATTCCAAATTTATTCTTAACTACCACGTATGATTAGGATGATATATATATGCCATTACATTTGGTTCCCAAAAAATGGAAATTACTTATCACTCAATCTGAGAGCAATTTTTTATTTAATTCCTTTGGATAGACAATACTATTGAAAATGATACAGTGTTTTTTTTGGGTTTTTTTTTTAGCTTAGTACCTTTGTATTATATCATAATTTTTAATGTAAATCCCATACAATTATGTTTCAAGTCATAGTATATGAAAAGTTAATTCGGCAACCTTTAACCTTCGTGCCCGAATAAAAAGGACAGTTTTTCCATTGACACCGCTATTATTTTAACTACCTTCACTCCTCGGCAATGTTTATTGTTTTAAAAAGCGATGATTAGAATTTATACATTTTTTGTTCTTGAGGAATTACGACAAAAATAATAAACACTATTTATTTATTATATTGTTTATTTACAAGAATAATTTTAGATTTTTGACATTCTAAAAACTAATACCATTAAAACTAATGCAATGCAATATTTATCATTTATCAATTTCTGTCTATATCTCTGAGATGAGGTATTATGATTATTTACATTATTCGGACTGTTATCCTCATCTTCATTACCATATTCACAAGGTTTCGGCCGTTTACAAGTCTTTTTCACTGCTCTTTGGACTGTCATAGATGAAACTCTTCTCTCACGTGCCAAACGTCTAATGGATTGAGTTGGATCATTTCTAATTGATCTCTTTAGATCTAAGTTGGAATGCTGATCCGTCTTCCTGTTGTGACCTCCTGATCCAGGTTTCCTCTCTACTGTTCCGTCTTTTTAAAACTTAGTCACCGTTCTCTTGATAGCTTTTGAATATGGATGCCAGAGTTTGAATGTTGGTACCATTACTGAAGGCCTGAATGATCTTTTTCCTTTCACCATTGTTCAGTTGGGAAGACAGTGGATCTGACACAAAACAATTTTAACCTGTTCTCTTTCTAGCTGAATAACTAAAAGGGCTTTTCAGTGATTCTTACGAAAAATGGTGTCAAGATTGCTAAACGTCTTATCTAAAATAGATATTAAACATTTTGTGGGATGGACACTCCGGTCTCCTTCAGGTGATTGGAATTCCGAACCGAACCCTTTATTTCGTCTACCGGGGTAGATTGTTCTAGTTCCACGTGCCATGCCTCTTCTGGGTGTATCAGTTATTTCCCTTTAAGTCAACTTTTAAGTTTATCCACTGTGCCACGTGTCCTCGAATACACATGACCCAGTGGATGAAGACGTTGCTTAGATCCAGTGACCAAACCCAAAGAGTTGTGAGTTCAATACCAGGCTACAGCAGTGGTGAACCAAAAAACTTGGAGAGTTGAGTTAAATGGAAATAACCGAGACACCCGGAAGTGGCGTGGCACGTGGAACTACCCCGTTGGACGAAATAAATTGTTCAGTTCGAAATTCCTATCACCTGAAGAGGGCCGGAGCGTACAATGGCCGACGCGCTGTGAATATGGCAATGAAGATGGGGATAACAGTCCGAATATATTTCTCTTCTATATAATAATAAATGCGAATATAAGCGTATCAGTGTGTCACACTTTTTCAACTTTACCCCAAAAGGCTGTAAGCCAACATATCATACCATTTTGGAATAAGGCCAGCTCCGTGAACAAATTAAAAACATTCCGGGTCGGATCTTAACCCGAAATCCTGAAATTTTGGATTCCCAACTTTTCATTACTGCATTTGTTTTCGGTGATTTTTTATGCGATCTTTTGCGACGAATTTTTTTTTGTACGATAACAATTTTTATAACTTGGAAATACATTTGGGAATAATCGAAATTAATTACGAAATTCAGCGAAAGTCATCATGAAATAAAAATAATTGTTTGTACGGAAAGTAAGAATCTACGTACATCAAATTATCTTTACATTAAGTGGCGACAGAAGAATTATCGTTGAACATTCAGAAGGTAAGCTTAAACATTAATTCAATACTTAAATGCAGCGATCAATTTTGAGTTCTTCTGTAGTTTATTGATGTCTATCACATCTACTCCTCCCTAGCTATTGTGATGAAGGCCCAATCAAGAGCTCTTTAAAAATATTTCTATATAGTCAAATGAATGAATTAGAAACAAATAACACGTAGCAGCGAGCGTTAATCACACTGTCATCAGTGATAATATTATACCAAGACTTCAATTTTTTAATGATAGAAAAAACTTTCCCCCAAAAATGTTTGTTTGTTTGTTTGGGTTTTATGGCATATCAACCACCGTGGGTTATTTAATGCCAAATCCAGTTTATATGAATTTTAAATGCCTATTTTGTATGGAATAAAAAACGTATAGCTGGCAACATTATTGTCTCAAAAACTTATAGCTGGCAACATTATTGTTTCAAAAACTCATAGCTGGTAACATTATTTTTCCGAAAACATTATCTGAGGCCTTGCTGTTGGATGTAGTTTATCGCCATACCCAGGACGCGGATGTAGTTTATCGCCATACCCAGGATGCGGATGTAGTTTACCGTCATACCCAGGACCCGGATGTAGTTTATTGTCATACCCAGGACGTTTTCCTCAAAGAAAAAAAAAATCAACAGAATGCATGGTTGTCAGCAAAAGACGCAGCCCAAAAGTGTGAACTACGTATTGGGGACGGCAAAATGAATCAGGTACAGAAATTTAACTATCTGGGTTGTGTTGTAACAGACGAAAGGAAAGGGGAGACACAGAAATCGAACGGATCATCGGAATAACGAAATATGCTTTTTAGAAACTAAGCAAAGTATGAAGAGAAAGGAAAATATTAGAAGCCAAGGCACGAGTGTGCTATGTAATATCCAATATCTGAGTATGATTGATGGATGTGTCTTTTACGGCTTATCAACCCTTTGTGAGTTTATTTTAAACATATTTTGGTGTGTGTGTGTGTGGGGGGGGTGAATATTGCATTAACAGTTTCTTAATAATTTTTCGAGATACAAATCCTACTATTTGAACTATAGCCGGGAGAAGGAGCGGCTTCCTACGTTTGCAAGGGTATTTGCACGTAAACGCCTGTAATAAACTCGATATGGATTCGAACTCAGCTCTCCGATTTCTCCGTCTGAGCCGCTATTACACCAAACGCACATCCCACCTGAGTGTACAAGAATCCTATACAATATGGCAGTGGATGCTGAAGAATCTCCTCAGTGATGAAGAAGATACAAAAATGCAGCACTACAGATTAATACTAAGAATACTATGGACTGATTGATTTGATTTTTACGGTTTATCAACCGTTTGTGGGTTATTTAAAGTCGGAACGTACTTTTTGATTGTAAGAATATGTTTTTGCGAGGTAACGATTTTTTTAGAGTAACAAGTACTTTTTTTAGGAGTCCTAATATTTCACCCATAGTTGAGGGGATAAGATGGATTAGTACCTTTCTCAAGGGTATTTGTGCGTAAGTGAATATAACAAACCTGACTAGAATTCGAACACGGCTCTCCGACTTCACATTCCGACCCGATATCCATTATCCCAAATGAATGAACACGTGAGTAACGAAAATGTTTTGAGGAGAATAAGAATTACTAAGAAACAATCAGAGAGAAAACAACTGAACCTTCTGGTAAATATACAGAGGAAAGAAGACTTAGAGAATTTAATACTCACAAGGCATACTGAGGGGAAGAGAAGCTGAAGGAAACAGTGGGTAGACAAAGACAAAGAGGGGATGGTAAAGATTTACAGTTTACTTAGAACAATAAAAGGTTTATCGAAACCTGAAATATTGGGCGTGCAATAAGGATCGAGCCTGTTTCTGTGGATATCACGACGAGGGTCATGGGCGAGAAAGAAATCATTCTTTTTATTTAGACAAAAATGCCACCCTCCTGGGTATGACGATAAACTACATCCGCGTCCTGGATAAGACGTCAAACTACATCCAACAGCAAGGCCTCTGATCAGGAGGTTTTGAGGAGCGTATAACCTCCTCTTAATTGCTGGTGTTCCCAGGTCCACCCTGGCCCGGGGTGGTAGCACCTGTTAGGGTCCCAACTATGGGCAAATAGTTAACCCACAAACTGGGGTCAAAACACTAAGAAAGTATAAAATAGGTTTTAATACCAGCAACGCATTTTTGTAAAAAATTATTGCCAGCAATGAATTTTTGAAGGAACAATTAATACTAGCAATACATTTTTGAAAAAACAAACTTATTACCCCCAATACATTTTTGAAGGAAAAAAATATTACGAACAATACATTTTTTTAAAAAATATTACCAGCAATAAAAATCTCGTCGGCATTAAATAACCCATTGAGGTGTTGATATGCCGTAAAACTAAACAAACCAAACCAAACCAAAAATTTCAACTCCTCTTTTGCTTTTAGTTTTTTTTTTATGACTTGTGGATATTTGAAATTAGAAATCGAACTTACATCTTTTATAGTGATATTTGATTTCGGCAATCTGGCTGTTAGATCTTGTGCAGAGGATTTCAATTAACGCCGATTCATCAGTACCAGCACCCTGCATGATAAAACAAATTATATTTGACTAAAAAAAAAAACCCCAGAAAGAATAATGCAAAAACCAAGCTTTTCCTCATTCGTTATACATTATATAGATTTTCAAGATATCGATCGGACGCTTACAAAAGCTGAACTTTATATATGAAAAAGTGGAAGAAGTTTATTTGTAACGCATTTCGTTCTTCAGGATTTCATCGGACTAAATTTGTTATATTTATTGAATGAATTCCCGAGGGACGAAACGCGTTATAAGTAAACTTTTTCCACTTTGTCATACAATTAACCCACTACTATCCTTGATATATAAAAAATATATATCATTATCTCCCTCTCTCCCCATCTCTCTCTTTCTCTCACACACACACACACATATATTTTATTTTAATACCTATACTCGGACGGTGTGAAAAAAGACCCAGATAATATAATTTGTATATAAAAATATATTTGAACAAAATGATATTAGGGAAAAAATTCAGTAAAAAAAGAAAAGACTAAAGACATCCGTGTATCGGTCGAAAATAATCAATCAGCACCTCAATGGCTAGTGAAAAGAAAAAAAAACACCGACCGAGTAAATTAAGTAAAACGGTAAAAGTGTTAAATACACTAAGTAGAGAAAATTTAAAAAAAAAAACTAGTGAGCCAGAACCTACCTACAAAAGTTTTACTACTGGCCCCTGAAGATCCATTAGGTGAAACCTTAAGGTAATGGCTCACTAGGTTATATATATATATATATATATATATATATATATATATATATATATATATATATTTATTTAAAATATGATTCCTTCGCTACATAAGAGTTCTCATGTTTCAAAACAAGAGCCGAAAACTTCAATATAATTATTTGAATTAAATTGAATTAAAGTACTAAGCTCTGTTCCATCTTCAAGCGAAATTTTTTGAATTTCGCTTGAAGATGGAACAGAGCTTGGTACTTTAATTGTTTTCGCCAATTTTTTTACGTCGTTTTTTGAGACGATTTTTTTGTATGATAACAATTTTTATAAGTTGGAAATAAATTTGGGAATAATCGAAATTAATTGCGAAATCCAGCGAAGGTCATCCATGAAATAAAAATAATAGTTTGTACGGAAAGTAAGGACCTGCGTACACCAAATTCTCTTTAAATTAAGTGACGACAGAAGAATTATCGTTGAATTTTAAAAGATAAGCTTAAATATTAATGCAATACTTAAATGCAGCAATCAATTTTGAGTTATTCTGTGGTTTATTATTTCCTATCGCATCTACTCCTCCCTACCTATTTTGATGAAGGACCAATCAAGAGCCCTCCATCAGATTAAATGTCGCCCGATAGCTCTAGTTAATAATTGTGTTTTTTTGTGACTTCAATTTGCCTGAAAATAACGTTCGCGTGTTTTCACATACTTTTTATTATTATTATTATTACACACAAAAGCGCGCACACATACACACACATATATATACATTGGATACTACTAGATATATTGAATTACTGAATATTACAATATATATATATATATATATATATATATATATATATATATATATATATATATATATATATTACTTGGCAATGTTCCATTTAAAAACATCGAAGGTTAGACACATCATTACACGAAATAGTTTGACTTACCTTCATGGCATTCTTCAGCTCATGAGCGTCGTAAACACGTGGAGGGTCAAGAAGTGCAATGACAACATCTTCAAAGTTTCCTTTCAATTCGCTTTTCAAATCATCACGGAGATCCTTAAAAAAAAAACAAGCCTCGATGTTATGCAATTAAACTTGTAATTAGTAACATGACTGATGTATGGCAAATCCTTTATAGAAAGAAATATTTTTCTTTATTTAGGCTTTATTGCAGTGAAACCAAAAGTGATGAGCAAAACCAAAGTGTAAGACAAAATTTTGTTATCGGAATTTCTTTATTTTGCAGTAAAATATAAAATATTGTTATTTATCCAATAATATTTGACTTAAGTACTGACTCTCTGATACTATAGAAAAATACATAGAGAAAAAGAAAAGATGGGTTTATCTCGATCTAAAGTGGTCCTGTTTCATAGACCAGAGGATTGTTCATTTTGATGTTCGGTTTTCTAAGCGGCATCCACTTTAGCCGAAGTGGAATGGGAAGTAAAACGATTTTTAGAGATCAAGTGCCAACAAAACCGGAAATATAGTATATTCGGGTGATGGTCTATAACAATCATGCTTAGGGATCAGGGAAAGTTCTGGTCCGCCCTTGGTGGGAGACTGACGTGTCTGCCGAGCGGTTCTTAAATTTCCATTTCGTATTGCTAGCCACGAATTTGGGATGAGTAGATGGGCGAGGATAGGAGGTACGGTGGTGTAATGGATAGCGGCTCGACTAGAGGAATCGGAGCCATTACATTCACTTATTCACTGCAAATACCTTTGGAAAAGGTATGAATCCTCTTATTCTCCCCCACCCAGTATGGGTAAATAGCAGGTTCTATAGCCTTGGATAGCAACTGATCTACCGCAGAAAGAATTGGCAACCTAATGCGGGGAAAAAATCTGCCTCGTCAGTCATGTATCGCAAGATACACGATCGCCGAAGCGTGCATTACGCATGGCACATAACTGAATGATTTCTATTGTCGCCTTCTTGGATAACTTTTAGTAAATAAGTATGTTTGTTGTCTTTATTTTTTACGAGAATATAAAAATCTTGTCGGCATTAAATAACTCATTGAGGTTGATATGCCGTAAAACAAATAAAAACAAACTAGGAAATTGTGGAGAGCCATGATCGCCAACATCCTGAAGTTGCATAGCATATAGAAGAACATTAATAAGATATGATATCCCTACTGAGCACCACCCTCTTTACAAAAGTATATTGATGGTATATTGAGGCACGGTTGAATAATGGATAGCGGCTTGGATTGAGAAATCGGAAAGCTGAGTTCAAATTCCAATCAAATCCATTACATTCACTTAAGGTATAAATCCTCTTCTTCTCCCCCCAACTATGGGTAAATAGTAGGACAGACCGGGTTTTATAGCCTTGGATTTCAACTGGTCTACCACAGAAAGAAATAGCAACCTACTGCGGGAAAGAAAAGTCTGCCTCGTCAGTCATGTATCGAAAGATATATGATCGTCTAAGCGTGTATCAATTTGATCGCCTAAGCGCGTGTCACTATAGCACCTAACTGAAACAGATATCGAGTTGATAAAAATTAAGAACAACTGGAGAACGCCTGAATTAATGCACAAAGATCTAGAAGAGTGGCCATTCAAGACAACTTTAATTTCATGTGATATAAAAGACTGAATCAGTTCATAAATACGTCTAGAAATACCACAACCTTTCAACTTATGAAGAAGACTAGTATGCCAGACCCTTCGCGATATCCAAAGCAACAGTTCAATATATATATATATATATATAAAGGTTAGGGAGGCTAGCGTGTCTAAAGAGTGACAGTGGGGTTTTGAATTAGTATGGGGCAAATAGCAGGACAGATTGTTCTGTAGCCTTGGATGGCAACTGATCTACCGCAGAAAGAAATGGCAACCTACCGCGGGAAAAATCTACCTCGTCAGTCATGTATCGAATGATACATGATCGCCTAAGCATGTATCAACTGACTGACGAGGAGTTGATAGTGGAAAGATCTGACATGGCCGTAGTCGTTCCAATTATTGCCTACCTTCTGACCCGGACGAACAGGCGAAGCCCTGAATAAAACACCGACATATAATATCTGAAACAGAGTTCACGTTCTTATTTTTCGATGTGGTGTTTGTCTTTCATCCTGTTACCTTGTGAGCATGCAATGGGGTTTTACCCAGATTTCCGAGCACATTGACAAGATCGAGGATCGAATGCAACGCGGGGGTAATCACTGGTGATATTTACGCGTAAGTGAATAGAACAAAGCTGACTGGAACTAGAATTCATCTATCCAATTTGCAATTCCGTGCCGTTATCCATTAAACCACCTGCAAGCTGACAACACTAGATATTCCCAAGCGGTAACCCATCTTGGTGCTGACCAGGCACAATGTTGCTTAACTCTGATGATCGTACGAGAACCGGTATTTCAAAGTGATAAAGCTGTATGCACAACTTTAAGACAAAGTCTTCTCGTCCATCTTCGAGATAAACCACTCATCGTTAATCCGGAATTAGTTTTAACGTTCAAAGGTGAAGGTTGTTAGCTCTGGTCTGCCGCTCCTGTTTTGGTGAAGGGAGCAGCAAAGAAACTACGTGCGTTCTGGGTAAGACGATAAACTACATCCGCGTCTTGGGTAAGACGATGAACCACATCCGCGTCCTGGGTAAGACTATAAACCACACCCGCCTCTTGGGTAAGACGATAAACTACATCCGCGTCTTGGGTAAGACGATAAACTACATCCGTGTCCGGGGTAAGACGATAAACTATACCCGCGTCTTGGGTAAGACGATAAACTACACCCGCTTCCTGGGTAAGACGATAAAGTACATCCAACAGCAAGGCCTCCGATTAGGAGGTTTTTAGGAGAGTGGAACCACCTCTTAATTGCTGGTGTTCCCACGTCCACCCTGACCTGAGGTGGTAGCACCTCTCAGAGTCCCAGCTATGGATAAATAGTTAACACCAAACTAGGGTCAAAACACTATGAAAGTGTAAAAATAGGTTTTAATACCAGCAATACATTTTTGTAAAAAAATATTACCAGCCATACATTATTACCAGTAATACATTAAAAAAAATTACCAGCAATACAATTTTGAAGAAAAAAATATTACTAGCAATACATTTTCGGAAAAAATATTATCAACAATATATGTTTGAAAAAAAATATTACGAGGAATAAAAATCTTGTCGACATTAAATAACCCATTGAGGTTGACATGCCGTAAAACAAAACAAATCAAAGCAAACCAAGAAACCATGTGACCTGTCTCTTGACTGAAACAGTTATGTATCGGGATTTCGATGCTGATTTTAACAGCTAGTAGGCAGTTTCCTAAGATGGCTTGTCAATTTTAACGCCTCCAAAACTAAAATTCTCTCCATTAATCCCCTGAGAGGCCCCACTCTGCTTTCCATCAGCATGGCTGATGCTATCCTTCATTAAAGTGACTCGTTATGCCTTATCGGGCAAATGTTCTCAGCTGACATGAAGTGAAAAGGCTACATTGAATCTATTGCTAGATCAGCTGCTAAGAAAGTCGGTTCACTATGCCGGGCGAGTCAATTTTTCTCTCCGGAATCTATCTTACATATCTATAAGTTTACCATTCGTCCATGCTTAGAATATTGATGCCATGCATGATCCGGTGCCCCTTCTATTTACCTGGAGCTCCTTCATAAGATCCAAAGAAGAATCAGCAATATTATTGGTCCTGATCTGGTGGCTTGGCTTCTATCACTTACCTAGTGCCATAAGGTTGCCTTTTTTTTTTAAAATAAAACTTTCGTGGTAATTGTTCGGATAAGCTCTTCGCTATTGTACATAAGCTGTATTAATTTAAGCGCAATACTAGACTGGCAGCGAGATCTCATCAATTTACTGCTGAGCTAGCTAGATGTAGCTGTAACTTCTATGCTGAGAATTTCTTTTCTCACACTTCTCGCTTGTGGAACTCCCTTCCGCTCCCATGCTTTCCAGCCAACTATAATCTTCAAAAGTTTAAATGCAATGTCAATCCCTATCTACTGTCCTCCTGATTGCTCTTTTTCTCTCTATGCATTATTAATATTTCTGTTTCTAATTCCGCCACACCCTGTAACCCCTTGCGTGTTAGTGGCTGTACTGCCTTGCTTGGAGTGATACCGATTAAAAAAAAATGTACAACATCGATCTACTTAAACCTATTTATTTTTGTTGCTGTAAAAATATGTGTTAGCATTGCGTTGATTTAATAGCAAACCCAGCTAGCAAGTCGCTACTTTCACGGTTACTTTGACCCTCACTACTTTGAACCACACTAACAAGCTTTATACTAGTCATTTCTTGCCCCAGTTAACAACGGATAGAAGCTAATTTTCGAGAGCAGCTTCCCGTTTTACTTTGTTGAACCTATAGAAGACAGGGATATATCGTTGCGTCTTCAGCTTAAATACCTAATTGGGAAGTGATGACATCGGAAGGGTATTTTCGACTCTAGTTTAAAACGGACAAATAATTACCGTTTTGATTCTAACGTAATCCGGACTTTGTCTACCTATCTATGGATTCATTTTAATTTTCCTTTTCCTATAAGACTTATATGCGACATTAATTAACCCAATAAAAGTCAAGGTATCATTGAATTAATTAACCTAGGCTAACGTAGTCATTTTAATTGATAGTTGTGCCACGAGAAACGTAAGATTATTCCAAGAAATTATAAGATCTTCTGGCAATGTTTTAGCGCTCGAACATTGATCAATTTAGCTGAATCACCTTGCCATACATCGTCTTGAATATTTTTTCAATCTCCTGGCGTTGCTCGTTGTTGTGCCCGGCAAGAACTTTAATGATGGCCGCTTCGTCTGTGCCTGTCAAAATACAGAAAATGGGACAACTAAAAAAGGTTGTCAAAAACAATTTTAAAAAAATTAAAAAAGTTTACCGAGAAAAAGAATAAAAAAAAAATGTAATGTAAAAATTTCATTTCGCAGACGACAAATCGATCCCGGGTAGTTGCGATGAAAATCAAGTAAAATTTAAAGGAAAGAAATAAAATAATGTTTGACAGTGTTTCATCTAATAATAAAATTCAAGATAATAAACCCAGGAGAGGTTAGATTTACAGGATCGAATCCAGTATTCCCTTTCACCGGATGTAACAACCTCTAATGTTCATTTATTCAGATCACGAGAACAGTTAATGGTAGGTACCTCGAAAGATTCGCTAAAAAATGACCATACATAACAAAAAATGCCTGAAACTTAATAAAAACAAAATTTTATTGTCCAAATTTTTGTTATTTTGAAGAAAAAAGACTAAAGGAATTTTTGATTATTAAATTATATTTTTAATCCTTTTTAGAACGTTCGAAATTTTGGTTAAAATTTTGTTTTCTTGCGTCAACAGCAGACCTTAAATTAATATAGGGAATTTTAGCGTCTTTTTGCAGTGAAAAACGCACTGATTTAGAAATTCTTGTAAAAATCAGATAATTGTCAGATTTTAACGAAACTTTCAGGACATATTCAAAAATTAATTAAATTATTTTAGAAATGTTCCAATTTTCAGAAATTCTTGATAAACATATTTTTGCTTTATATGTTACCCACTCCCACTTATTTAATTTATGAAATTTGGAGAAATTCCTTTTTATAGCGTTTAATGTTTATATTAATTATAAAGACACGTCCTTGGAGAATTTAAATCAATCTTTGTCAAACAGAACGCCCAGAAAATCTGCCCTGAATCGTAAAATGAAAAAATGTAATAGAACTGTGACATTATTTAATTAGAAAAAGCTTTTTATTGCTTTTATGAGTAAGATATATTATGGACACTATTGTCTTAAGAAATGTTTTTGACGAATAAAGAATTTTTACAAGAATTGATTTCATTTGAAAAAATCTTAATTATAATAATTTATTGTTATACCGGAATGTACCTATTCTATTGTAAATAGATCTCCCACAGATAAGTAGTAGTAGTAGTAGCAGTCGCCAGTGGAGCTCAGAGTGAGTTGTTTGAGTCAGTCGATGTCGGACATTAAAGTATGAGCCCCACAACTAGATTGCTGCGTCATTAACTATTATTGCAAGTTCCTAACGTTTTGTACGTCGAACCTAATTTAGGACCGACTTAGTGAAATACAAACCTCCACTGTGAAAACTACTCTACAACATTTATAAAGTTGTAAATTTTTAAAATTCTGCATTAATTTTTAAATAAAACTGTATATATAGTAATCATAAATGAAAAAGCTAACTACCATTTAGCGACCCTCAGTAAATTTCGAATTTCTTTTGTGCGAATAAACGTGCCAATTTTCGTAAATACGGACGTCCATACACGACATTTTTAGAAAATAAGAGCGGCAACTATAGTAAATTTAAAGTTTATGGATAATTTTCTAGCATTTCCTCAACAAGCGAAGTATGACTATAAAACCAAAGTACTTAAAATTCAATAAAATATTAGATTACTTAGAATATTTTCTTTCTTTTTTTTAAGATTGCTGGCAGTTAAAATTTTTTTTTTATAAAAAAGACATTTACGTTGTGTTTGTCTAGTTAGCTTTACAGTTATGTACCCTTTATTTAAAAATGCCAAACATTAAGCTATCGATAATTCTGTCAACATCTCATAGAAACATCCATATCTGCGTTAAAAAAATACTTTTCTGTGATATTTTAAACTAAAAGTAATTTCAGGTTAATTTAATTTTAAATCAGTTAATCTTCTTTTTTAAATAACGAGAATTATGTTGTGCTGACAGATTTGTCAATATGACCGATTTTAGCGATTAAAAATAATTCTGGTCAATTTAAATTCAGTTATTGGAAATATTAAGTTTAATCTATTAGCTTGAAATTAAAACTAAAAAAAAATCTTCAAGAAATATTTTTTTAATTTTTAAAAGCATTTTAAACCTTAGGTATCTCATTTTGAGGTACCTACTTAAGGGCGAGACTTTTAAAAGTAGAAAAGAAATTAATTCAACACTATCATTATACTTTTTTGTCAGAATCCCATTCAGTTTTATCGAGGAACTAAAGAAATGCTATAGTGATGTTGGGTTTAGGAGTTAAAATGAACAGTTCATTTACCCACGCCAAGATTATTAATAAAAGAATGATAATAACGACGAAACACACGAGTAATTAAAAAAAAAAACAAGATAAAGAATTTATTTACGAATTTACACACTTGAAGTTGTGCCAGTAACTCGCTTCAGAAAAATAAATCAAAAATCTTTAAAGTCCCTAATTTTAGCGTTTTGCCATAAAGAGGAAATGTTCATGCAGCAAATTAAATGATCTTATACAAAATAATATTTAAAAATGTTTAAAACAAAGATAAGTGTTGGGGCGCACCCACCTTCTGACTAAGAATGGACTGATCCCTCTACGATATAGGACAGTGCTAGAGAGACCAGAGAGAGCTGGAGATCAGGTGACCATTACACTTCCGTCTCTCGACCGGAAGTTACCGTTGGACTTTAGACTCTTGCTAATTGTTATTACTAACCTGCGTTCGTTATTACTAATCACTCTGTTGTTAAATACCTCTTCAAATATACCAGTATTTTTCCCTACATCTGTGTTTGTCTTTATTTGAATACACACAGGCGGGGACACTCCCAACATCTCAATAAGAGAGTTCGTTGTCCACAGAAAGGATATATGGTTTGCATACCTTCAAAAGTAGACGAAGACAGATAGCTTGAAATTTTACAGATCAAAGTTGGCTGGGAAGCATGGAATCAACAGAGAGTTCCACAAGCGAGAAGTGCGAGAAAAGAAGCTGCTAGCATAGAACTTACGGTTACATCTAGCCAGCTCAATTGTGAATTGTGGCCAACCTCGTACTTCGCTTAACTTCATAAAGACTAGGTACCATAACGAAGAGCTTATCCGAATAATTCTTGGATTACTGAGAGAAAATTCTTTGGAGTGCCCCGTGCTGGTTAGAAGCCGATAATATAATTGGCGATTAATATTATACTGGTGAGAACTTCAATGTTGATAGCGATGAACAGAAACGAAACCTTTCACAGACTCTTCTCTCTTTAATATAATTTTTCTCCTCATTTTATATCAAAATGTATTAGTAGGCTCGCTATTGTTTTTCTTCTTCTTGGCTGACTGGCTAATTTATGCGAAGGCAAGGTTTTTATTGGTCCAAAGAAAATTTCACATAGGCTGGCAAATTCATTTCCTTCTTTTTCCTTAGTGCTCCGAATTTGAAGGGTGTGGGTAAAGGGAGTTATAAATTTTACACTCACAGTACCTCAGAAGCGGGATTTTGTCGTCGCTAATAATGATAATAAACTTAGAAAAAAGTGCTGGACTGCTATGTAATATCAATCCTCCTTTATGGCAGTGAATGTTGAACAGTTTCCTTATGGATGAAGAGGAGGGGGTGCAGAGTTAATTTCAACTTCGCCCACTGCGACGCGAATGAATTCAAACTTTTATTGTCGATAATTCCAAAACGGTAGATTTTATCAAAATTTCTTTGTTATTTTTTAATTAGAAATGTAAATTTACACATAAATGGAACTATTCGGGAAATTTTTATTAGAAACTGGGCGGGGGGGGGGTTGCTTAAACTGCAAATTACCCTCGAGATGAAATTAGTTCTGTCACCCACGAGGAGACTTGAGGTAACAAACATTTGGTTCTACAGAATATCAGGAACGGATTATAAGAAGAGTTTTAAGGAGTAAAAACAAAAATGCCACTGGTACTTGAAATAAGAAAGAGACAGCTGGGATTCCTGGGAAACACTTTGAGGAAAGAGGGCTTAGAAAATTTAACACACACGAGATATACTGAAAAAAGGAACGACAGAGAGAAACGGTGAGTAACTTACGCAATGTGTTTTGGCGAATTAGAACTATAAAGAATAGGAAATTATGGGGGGCCATGATTGCCCACGTCCTGAATAGATATAGCACAAGAAGAAAGAAGAAGAAGAAGAAGAAGAAGAAGAAGAAGAATGACGATGATTATGATGATGATGATGAACATGTTTTAAACGGTCCAATTTTCTACCATTGAGCCAACCAATCAAATGCTGACTCTTTATGTAAGTCTGGTTTAAGTAAATAGCGTCCTAGTTGCAGACACTGCTTGGGAGGTTAATGAAATGCTAATTTGGACATTATATTCTCGTACCGATCTTTCATGTCTGCAATTGAATTAACAGAAATGCTGGATGATAATGATGAAAAGAGCAAAACAATTACTATTCTGATTTTCATCGTCCTCGCTGTTAACGCAAACTGGGAGTCGCCATTTTCGCCAACGTCCTTAAGTACTAGACTTTTGGAAACTGTGACAATTCTTTATTATAAAAGAAGGGCTGATTCTCTGTCCGTTAGACAACATCTGCGTATGATTTTACATGCGCGTATGCAATGCATGCGTATCCTAACATATGCTTGTACACACACACACACACACACAATTTATTTGACTGAATTTGAAACAAGACATTGGTTTGGTTTGGTTTCTTTTGCTTTACGGCATATCAACCTCAGTGGGTTATTTAATGCCGACAAGACTTTTATTGCTGGTAATATTTTTTCATCTATCTATCTATCTATTTGTTTGGTTTGGTTTGTTTTACGGCATATCAAACTCAATGGATTATTTAATGCCGAAACGATTTTTTATTGCTGGTAATATTTTTTTTAAAAATGTATTTCTAGCAATACTTTTTCCTTCAAAAATGTACCACCAGTAATTTTTTTTCTTCAAAAATATATTATCGGTAATATGATTTTTTCTTCAAAAACGTATTGCTGGCATTAAAACCTATTTTTACACTTTCATATAGTTTGAACCACAGTTTGGGGGCGGGGGG